TTTTTTTTTTTCAAAAACAGTGGTGCAAATATATTAATGATGTTTTTTACCAGACAAGATGAGTAGAGCTTTCCGCCCAGCCTTGTCCATGATGATAGCAGCAATAGCAGTGAAGACCACCTGTGTGGCTGCAACAATAACAGTGGCCACGTCGCTGCTCTGTGGTGGAAAATAATGAACATCACAATGTGCATTTAGCATAAATAAAGCTCTTCATGAATAAACTTCAAAACAAAACACTCACTTCAAAATGGGCCTGCTCGAAGATTGTCTTTGCATAAAACATGATGGCATTAATGCCAGTCATTTGCTGGAGGAGCATCATCATAATGCCTATGCCTAAAGGCTTAAAGACACCAGGGTCCTTCAAATCTGCCAGACTGAAGCTTTGCTCCTGTAATCAATTTAACGCCAACTTTAGTGATTTGCATAAAGTTGTACACATCATTTTATTAAATTAAAAAAAGCTCCAGTAAAGTGAGGTAAACTTAAAGTCAACAAAATTAAACATTAATTCTGGTTGGTAACGCCCACATTTAATCATTCAATTAGCTCCTGTTGAATACAATTTAAGGCATAGTTGACCCAAAAATCTAAATTCTGTCATCGCTCACCCTCATGTTTTTCCAAGACTTTCGCTCCTCTTCGAAACACAAATTAAGATTTTTTTTTTAAACCTGAGAGATTTCCACTGAAAGTCCACGCAACCAAAACACTGAAGCTTCAAAAAGTTCATAAAGTTCATCCATTTGAATTGAGCGGTTTAATCCAATCCTTCTGAAGAGACTTGATCATTTTATATTATAAATAGATTTTTCCACATACAAACATTGATCTTCCACAAGAATAAATAAGGTTTGTTCGTCAAGCAAGAATGGCTGCGCTTCAGTTTACCATAATTGATGAGCTCTATGTATGTGCATTGTTCAATGTTTATATAGAAATAAAAGCCTAAATTAAATGTTTGTGTCATATAAAGTGATCATGTCTCTTGGATTAAACAGCATGCAAGTTTTGGTGGAATAGACTTTCAATGCAGGGAAATAAATCATCATTAAATATATATTCATTTGTGTTTCAAAAACGAATGCAAAGTCATACAGGTTTGGAACGACGTGAGGCTAAGTAAATTATGACAGAATTTTAATTTTTGGGTGAACCGTTTCATCACCCAGTTCACTCAAAATATGTCATATTAGAAAAGGAAAACAGGTTGCAAATCACAATTCACATCGACTTTATCCTTGAACTGCAGCATAGAATATGCAGCATAGAATATTCAATTTGAGAGCTTTGAACTCTGAGATGTGAAATGAAAAATTTGTGATGTCTAACTTCATTTTTGTAGGCCTCTTCTATTCTAGCACACTCCCACTCTGCCGGGGCATCAGGACCCCTGAGGAAGC